GATATATGCTTCTATAGATACCACAAGCCAGTGTAATTCTAACACTTTTTGTTTTAATTATTGAATTATGAACTACTCTACTAATGAATTCTGAAGAGCAAGATCAGTCAAACTGAAAAACCCAGCAATGACCACCAACTTCCATGAAGCATTGCAATAAATAAATATTTTGCAATAAACTTAAAATATATTATTTTTATGACTAGTCAATAATTTTATATTTTACCACCATTCATCCATTTTTTCTGATTCTCATATACTTTTTGCTTCACATCCAAAGGTTGTGATTCATCTCAGAGCTGTTGGCTTTTTTTTTTTTTATTCCTGCAGAGAAATTAAATTGAAAAAAAATACTTCCAGACCCAAGGCCAGGGTAAAAAGTGGGCGATCACTGTTAAAGCTTTGTTAAATCTCTTAAAATTCTGCATTTAAACACTGCTAGTATTTTTGCCTATTTAATCACTTTGTCTAAAAGCATCTGAAAAATAAATATAATGTACATTTTCAGAATTCGAGCAAGTCATCAACCTTTCCCTTGAATGTTTGTTTCTGAAATATTTCAGCAAATTTGATAATGCTTCCAGCTACAAAGAGAGTTATATGTAGTTATGCATCTGCAGAAATAATGTAAAGTGAATCTAATAAAACAGGAGCACGCTAAAAGCATGCATCTATTCAAGCTACTATGCTGTTTTCTGATTAGAACATAATTGTTTTGTTTGGCTGTATTTATGTTTTTATATTAGCATGAAATGTGTCCTACAAAAATACACTTCTCTCCTTACAGCTGCTAGACATTAGAATGTTCTGGAGGTTTAGGATGAAATTAGAGATATCCTCTGTGATTTACCATCTGTCATGATAAATTACCGCCTCAGACAGTGAGCTGCGTAATATCATTGCGCCTGCTGCACCCATGGTACGGCAGCAAAGTTCCTTGATTATTACTCCGGAATGAGAGTATAGTTCCTAGCCATATCGGCCAAGAAAATCGCAACTTTTCATTTTCCGTCGGTCTTAGTACACGATGTAACTACAGAAGAGTCAAGTTTTAAATAGGAAAAATATAGAAACTCTGGTCATTTTTGAGCGAGATGCTAACGGTCTAATCAGATTCAATGATCTATGCTAAGCTACAGCTAAAAGTGCTACCGCCAGACCCGGAGATCGGCTGAATGGATTCGAAAATGGTAAAACTCAACTGTTTAACTCTAGGGGAGTTGGAAAATGAGCCTATTTTCAAAAATAGTGGCGTGTTCCTTTAAAGGAAGTAGTATGCAATTTTTTTATTGAAATTTGTTTTATTTAATTTTTTATATATATTTTTTTTTCTCTCTTCTTTTTTTTGGATAAAAAAAGGTTGAACGCTGTATTTGAAATATAACTCTTTTATAACTCTTATATAAATGTATTTACTGTCACTTTTATACAATTTAATGCATTCTTGCTGAAGTGTTGAAAAGTTCACCCAAAAATGAAAATTTTGTCATCATTTATTCATCCTCAAGTTGTTCCAAACCTGTATGAGTTTCTGTCTTCTGTTGAACACAAATGAAGATATTTTAAAGAATGTTGAAAACCAAACATTTGACTATAGCCACTGACTTCAATAGCATTTTATTTTATTTTTCATTTTATTTTATTTATTTTTCCCCCCATACTATGGAAGTTAATGGCTACCATCAACTGTTTGGCTGTTTTTGGATGAATCTCTTTGTTTAAAAAAAATTATAAAAATTTGACTGACCCCAAACTTTTTAAACGCTAGTGTATGTACATTAAATTGCATGCTGTGAAAATACTGTATCCCACAATGCAGTGCATTTGACTTGATATTTTCCGTGTGACTTATCTCCATGGCGATGTAAGAAAATTAGAGCTGTCTGCAGGTCTCGAGATGTTTGCTTACAAACTGATGAAGCCTTTAGTCCTGTTGATATAGTTAGTCAGCTGTAGAATTGTATGAATTTTGTCTTTGGGCTCTGGAGGAAGAGACGCAGTAATTAGCATGTTTGAAAGCCTAATTAGGTGCATTGTTTCTTGTTAAAAACATGAAAATGAGTGGCTTTTCTTACCAGACATAAAGGAGACGGCTGTGCAGTCACGTGACCGTTATGCCCACAATCACAGCATGAGTATGGGTGGCTGATCTCTGCTAGTTTAGGACAGACCTCCCACACAAATATATGCGAATATACAGTATCTGCTTCACTTTCTATCCTTCAGATCTTTCAACATACTGTAGCCGCCATCGAACTGCATATATTATAAAGTCATGTATATGTTGGAGAACAAAAGGTCTTGACCAAACAAACATTTTGATTGTCTTTTCCACTGTCATTATCAATTCCTAAACAAAAATTAAAATGCTAATGACTCCCTCCTCTTCTTCTCCATTGTTTCTATTTGTTTATCAAATGACTGTCTGAGGCAAATATGATGTTTCTGCAAGAATGGCTTTTACAAATCTCTAATGGCTGCAGTGATAATGATAACAGGGACATGCTACAGTATGTTGTGGAACCAAAGATATTAAAGTCTTGGCATGTTTTTAATAGTCTGTAAAATAGGCTGTTTAATTTTAGCCGGCTAAGAAATTCTGTTTGTTGTAGCATTTTTATCTGTTAATCTCTCAGATGTAATCTAAAGGGTTGTGCAGTACAGAAGAGTTGTTTTATGTGAACTGCATCTAGTAAATCATATTGCATAAGTCCTCCCTCTGAATCTTGGGGAAGCTGTGAAGGAGTTTGGTAAAATGCTGTTAGACCGTCATTGTAATGTGAGACCGCAGGCTCTATAGCTTGTCAAATTATGCTTTCAGCTCTACATTTGTGTGGGTCTCCGAGTCTGTGTGAGACGTCAAAATCTGTCTCAGGCTAGCTCAAGCACAGAATTGACAGTGTTCTATGAATTTTTTACCCCTATGAAAGAGTAATAATAGAAAAGCATTATTTCTTGTGCATTGCTGCAGTCACTTTCAAGCAGGGGTCTCGAAGTATGCCCCACTCAAATGTTAAAGCAATAGTTCACCCAAAAATGAAAACATGCTGAAAATGTACTGACCTCAGGCCATCCAGGATGTAGATGAGTTTATTTGTTCATCAGAACAGATTTGCAGAAATTTAGCATTCATTTACTTGCTCACCAGTGGATCCTCTGTAAGAAACGAATCCATCATTATGGCATTTTAAATTTAAACCATCTCCTCTGGCCAAAATACCAGTCCATAATCCATAATAATGCTTTCTCTGGTGAAAAAGTTTATTCCCTGTTGTCCTCTCATATCAAAATCCACGGACATTTTTGTTTAGAACTGTTTTGTTCTGTTTTCACTTGTAAATTCTCTCTGGATTAAGACAAGATGACTTTTTCACTGGAGAAAGCATTATGGATGAAGGAAGCAACGGTTTGAAGTTAAAATGTCTTAATGATGGATTTGTTTCTTACAAAACATGCAGCTTTTTGCTTTACGAGATGTTAATTGATGAACAGGAGTCATGTTGTGAACTCATTCTGACGGCACCCATTCACTGCAATGGATCTGTTTGTGAGCAAGTGATGTATTGCTAAATTTCTGAAAATCTATTCTGAAGAAAGAAAAAAAAAATCATTTACATCTTGGATAGCCTGAGGGTGAGTACATTTTCAGCAAACTTTCATTTTGGGGTGAATCATTCCTTTCATAGTTTATTAAATACGGTTCACAAATGGTGTAAAATGGGTGGCTCTGCCTATTTGCTATTGTAAACGCTGTGCTTATGTGTTTGTCCTGTGCAGGTGTGTTGTGGAACCTGTCCTCCTGTGATGCTCTGAAGATGCCTATAATCCAGGACGCTCTAGCCGTCTTGACCAACACCGTGATTATACCCCATTCCACCTGGGACGTGTCCCCACATCAGGAGGACCGCAAGCTTCAAATGCACACGTCCCAAGTACTTCGCAATGCCACCGGCTGCCTGAGGTGAGCTTGTGTGTGCTTTTTTCTTTTTTTTTTACTCCTTTAGTTTGTTTTTTAAAAGGATAGTTCACCATAAAATGCTAATTTCTGTCATCATTTACACACTCCAAATCTGTGAGACTTCAGCAGAATATAAAACAAGATATTTAAATTTTACATAGCATTTCAACAGTTTTTTGTCCATATAATGAAAATAAATGTGCTTCACAGAATAAAGAAAGTCATACAGGTTTGGGATGACATGACTGCAGACTGTTGGTATGTGTGGATTGTTCACAGATCCATTTGTGCAAAAACTGCCACACTGAAATGAATGTGTGTTTTACATAAGACTGGCTTAATGTCAGATTTACACAGAAACTGTCTAATGAAGAAGGTGAAAAAGTGTACACTATCGTTCAAAAGCAGATAATACATTTTTTTGAGCAAGGACATATTCAAATAAGCAAAAGTGACAGTAAAGACATGTATAATGTTATAAAAATGTATTTTTTAAATAAATGCAGTTCTTTTGAACTTTGTTCATCAAAGAATCTATGAAAGATAAATGAAAAAATGTAGTTTCCACAAAAAATATTAAGCAGCACACAGGAATAAATAACATTTTAAAATATATTCAAATAGAAAAAAAGTAATTATAAATTGTGATATTTCAAATTAGTACTCTTTATAATGTATTTTATATTAAATAATGGTAAGCATAAGAAACTTCTTTCAAAAACATAAAAAATCTTACCAACCCAAAACTTTTTAACAAAAGCACAAATTGACGTTCATCTAAGCAGCAGCTCTTGGCCTCAAAGGAATTGATGCTGAATGAAAAGCATAGACTACTTTGCAGACTTCATTCACATATACCTGAGAAACTATAACCCAGATTGCATTTACAAAACCAGATGCAGCCACAACTCCACTGATTGTAGATGGGCCGAAAAAGGCAGATCTCTCATTAAGAACAGATTGCAGTTTGCACAGTGTGGTTGTTTCTATGGCAGCTGGCCACGTGATGTAGAGAAGAGAGTTTCATATCTGTACCGCTGAGAACGATGGTTCCTTTGATGAACTGACAAAAAACAAGAGCTTTGGATTTTTCACACCTCCTTCCTGTTCCATACGGAATGAGGAACAAGCCTGACAAGCCATTTCCCCCAGCCACGTCTGTTCTGTGCATTGGTAACTCTAGATCGCCCATGGGTAAAACTGAATCATAACCTGTACGGCTTTGTCACGTTGAGTAAAGATTTACTGTCTCTCTCCTGTCTCTTCTGCGTGAAGCAAGAGGACACAAAGCATCTGATTCATGATTTATGCAAAAATGCATAATGATGTTTATGTGACATGCAAATCTAGCTTATTATGATTTATACATAGCTTCTTGTTGTGAAGAGTTGGTTGAAAAATAACTGAGAAAGTGTTGTCCTTCCTTTTAAGATTTCCTAAACTATTGAAACTTTTTTTAAGCCATACTTGAAGAAGTTTTGCAGTTTCACTATAAACTAGCTGTTAGCAATTGTATTTTTACCTTCTATAAGAGATTTTTGAATATACATGAACAGATGTGCATGTACTGTATGCAAATACACACTGATATGCAAACACAAACAGTCGTTTTGTCCTCCGATTTTCATTTTTTCTCTAAATAACAAGTCTGCTTCTGATTCCAGCAGTGAATTACCCCTCAGAGTGAATGGCAGTGTCTTGTGTTTCAACAAATCATCTTCTGTAGGAGCGGCATAAAGAGGCATTTACCATCCTCCGCATATTAGTCTGTCAGATACGCACATGCTTCAGAAAGTAAAATGCATATCTTATGCCAACCGTGTGATTGTGGACCACACATATCTTCTACTACATTTTCATTCATACACACAGCTAGTTGCTTATGATAGTTTAGTAAATGTGTGTGCTGTGATTATCTCATCTGATGTATGAGTTTGGAAATCTAATATGGATTTTTCAAGTAATCTTTCCACAGTCTTTCAACAATCTTTCCAATTCTTTTAAGAGAATCATAAACATGCAGCGAGACAAGTATAGTGTGATTCACAAGCAAACGACTCTCATGAACAGGTTCTTTTAGTGAATCCAAAATGCATAGCGAGAGCATTATAGTGTAATTCTCAAGGGAATGGACAAATGGCTCTTAAAAGTCTATGGCAAGACCAGAAAAGTGTGATTTATGAGCAAATTACTCTTATAAACGGTTTATTTTTAGTGAATCTAAAACATGCAGTGAGACCAGTGTAGTGTGATTCAAGAACAAATGACTCATATGATGTAGTTTTTAGTGAATGAAAAACATACAACTTGTGCAAAAATGCAACTTAGTCTGAATCCCAAACAAATTAGAGTTGGTTCATTTCAGTGAATCAAAACCGTACAGTAAGATCAATGTGATTCGTGAGCAAATGGCTCTTATGAACAGTTCTGTTCAATGAATAAGAAACATGCAGCGGTAACAGTGTATTGTGATTTACAAACAAATTAATCTTGCGAACATATTCTTCTTATTGAATCAAAAACGCACAATGATTCAATAGCTGTTAGTGTGAATCATGAGCAAATGAATCATATGCTGTGGTTATTTTGAGTGAATGAAAACTATAGTGCAACCTACTGTATGTTGTTCAAATCATGAACAAATGGCTTATAAGACCTAGTTCTTTTTAGTGAATCAAAAACGTTTAAATGACTCCTATGAATGTGTTATTGAATAAAAACATACAGTGAAACCAGTGTTATGTGATCTACAATCAAATGACTCTTATGAACAGGTTATTTTTATTGAATCAATAACATACAGTGTGATCAGTGTAATTCAGCTCACAAATAACTGAGTCTTAGGAACAAAAACAAGAGTCATTTCCGAAACAAATGACTCTGTTAGCTGGTTTGAATCAGTCATAAACACTGCCCTGTACAATCCACAACTTATTTAATCTGTAAGCAAAATGGACATTAAAACTGAAATATGCAGCATGCTTTGCTTCGAATATTTCAGGTGGCCTGAAAATATTTCACGATAATTTGACTGAGGCATTTACATTACTTCCTCGCTGTCTCTTCTGGGTATCACTTTGGAGACAGTCGAGTTGTCAATTTCTCCCAATTTCTGACAATTAAATACTTCAATTCATATTGATGATGTTCGTCAGGGTGGGATTTTTTTCTCTCCCTCGGAGGTGGGAACACTTGAGCAAGCCATTGAAAATCAGTGAAGCAGTGTTTTTGGAATTGAGCCTCGTCCCAATGGGAGTTTGACACACTGCTGCTGTAAATCACTTCCACAAGCAGAAATCAAATTTCTGAAACCTGCGGGTCTCTGTGGACTCAAAAATCTATCTAATAGAAAGAGATTTTCTCAGCCACAAAGCACAATCCCTCATGACATTCCAAAAAGGCATCACAACATTGGATTTTCCTTCTCGCTTTCTCTGTCAGACTTCAGTGAATGGATGAATCAGCCATTTACACAGTTAAACGGCTCCACGCTCTGTTTAGGTTCAGCAGCTCACCAGCTGTCAGCAGGATCTTAATCGAACCTGAACAGCTGCCCGCTCTTACGAATCTTTTCCTTTCGTAATTGTGTCAGAGTTTCCCTCCAACCCTCAAATGTTGATTAAGGGATTGTTTCAAAATGCACTTTTTCTATAGTGAGATCAAAGAGTAAAAATGAGAACTTGAGTTTAGACTGACTAATGTTCAGTATTTCCTCCCAAGAAACTGCATTAAAGACCTGTTAGGAGTTTGTTTGTTGTGCTCTGTGCTGAATGTCACTGGAAATGACTAAAGCACCACTGACTCACAACACTTTGCCTTAAATGTTTATTCATACGTGATCAACAGTTCGTAGCACATTTATACTTGTCAAATAAACAAAATCTGCCATTTGATAGATCTACTGATCACAGAAACTTAAGCCACATTTCCATGGATGAGATGCACATTGTTAATTTGATAACTCTGTTAATTTTTTCAGTTTGTTGTATTAATTTGTTTAATTCATTTTTGTTTTGTTTTACTTATAGTTTTTGGCTTTTGATGAAAATATCCTCTACATTTTGTTTTTGTTTTGTTAACGCCATATACATACATTTTAGTCAATTTTACTTTGACTAAATGGTGTCTGATTTTTAGTCAACAAAAAAAAAATCATGAAAAAGCTACAAAACTATACCAAATATCTTTGTGAAGACCTGATCTTCTGAAATAGTGAAATTATTATATACAGTTGTGATTTCTTTAGGTTTTTGTTGTTGTTGATTTGTTGTTATGGAAAGAGCATATTCACAACATGATTTTCACATTCTAACTTCAAATTCGCAACTTTTGTGCAAATTATTAATTTGTAATATTACATTTATATTGTGTATACACTACCGTTTAAACGTTTGGTGTCAGTAAGAGTTTTTATTCAAAGAAATAAATACTTTTATTAAGCAAGGATTCATTCATTTGATCGAAATTGACAGTAAAGACTGTTGTAAAGACAAAATGCTGTTGAACTTTGTATTCATAAAAGAATCATGGAAAGAAAATCATGGTTTCCATACAAATTTTAAGCACCACAACTGTTTTCAACACTGATTTTATACAAAAAAAAAATGTTTTAAGCACCAAATCAGCATATTAGAATGATTTCTGAAGGATCATGTAAAACTGAAGACTGAAGTAATGGCTGCTGAAAATACAGCTTTACCATCACAGAAGTAAATTACATATTCAAATCTATTCATATAGAAAACAGTTCTTTTAAAGTGTAATAACATTTCATAGTATTACTGTTTTTACTGTATTTTTGATCAAATAAATGCAGCCTTGGTAAGCATACGAGACATTAAATAAAAGAAAAAATAATAAAATAAATAAACAATTTAAAAAACAGCTTACCAAACTATTTAGCTTCAGCAGGTTACTACTATCTGAAGGTTACTATTTATTATATTTTATTTGAAACAGTTTTTCATAAATTAGTGCATTGTTAATATTGTGCAGTGTCATTTTATT